TATTCATTGCAGGAGAATTTATGACAATGAAAAAGCTGGAAACAGGATGCACGCCCAGCGTTCAGCCACAGAGGGTGCTTAGCAAACATCTTATTAATATAAAAGAAACGCCCGGGAGGGTATCATTACTTGTGGCAACCTGGCGGGTGGTACTGTGGAGCGTGCGGAGAATCATGTTAAGGAAACAATGGCGGCAGCGAGGCGCTCCTACTTCTTCAGCCCTGGCCGTGTGCCCTGGGGCTCCTCACTCACTCTCCCTACTCAGTTTCCTCTAAAATGGGCTACTTTTTCTCCAGGGTTTAGCACACAGGAACGGTGGGAATGTCACAGGTATTGGTGGCACGAATGGGCAAATTCTGAGTGCCAGGTCAGTGGTGCCTGCTGTTGGCCTCTGTCCACGGGAAGCTCTAGCAGCTCTGGTTGGAGCAGCTGGTGCTGGCTTCGCGTCTCCCTGGGGACACGACCCTTGCTATTGCTGGAAATGGCAGAGGGGCTGCTGGAAGCTGGGAGAGGGTGAACTAATAGACCGAGCTTACACTCAGTTTCTAGCACAGTAGGAGAGAGAAGTAGTGGACGCTGACACTTTGAGGTTCTGTGGAGTCAGGTGACTTTTGCTGGGTGGGGCAGAAGATCGCCATGCAGGTAGAAGGAGCCAAACTCTGCTGAGCCCTGTAACATACAGAAGGCAGAGAGAGTGTGACTTAAATTCACCCACTTATTTAACACCTACTTATTGAGCACCTACTATGTACTAAACCCAACCAAGGTGCTGGAGTACAACCCAGTTGAATGGACCTGAACAGTACCCATGTCTGTACAGCACTTGGGGTCATCTCCGTTCTGATTGGTCAGCGTCCGCGATGCCTGGTTAAACATCTTGACTACACTTCCTGCTTAGCAGTGTACCAAACTAAGAGGTGTTCACTTCTTGGTTGGAAGACACAGAAATAAATACACAAACATTTGACAGATGGTGATGAATGCGGTGGAGAAGAGCCAATCAGGGATAGGAGTTACATAACTGGCTGGAGATTTTACAGCTAATAAGACATGGGACTGGGACTTGATAAATTTGAAAGCTCCTTGCTTGGGGAGCTCTGGTCCTGTCTCTTTGATGAGGCAGTAGGGAGCAGCTGGCCATGGAACTCATTTTCCTCCTAGCTCAGGGAGATCAGAAGGAGAGACTTTCCAAAGGTAGTCTCAGAATATTTGTTGGTCCCTGACCAGGCACCATGCTGGACACAGAGATCCAAGATCCTTGCTCAGAGAGCGGGGGAGGAAAGATGTGTGAGGTCCTGGAGGGGTACACAGTGCTTCAAAGGGAGAGCACAGGATGGTAGGGGAGGCGAAAGCAAGACTTTCCTTACGGGAACACATCGGTCTGTTGAAGACTTATCTGATCTCCCCTGTTCATGTAACTTCTTCACAGTAACGAGACATGGAATCAACCTGAGTCCATTAATGGATAAGTGGATAAATGAAGTGTCCTGCACACGAGAAGCCACCCTGGAGTACGATTCCACTTTAAACAAGAAGGAAACTCTATTGTCTGAGGCGACCTGGCGGACACGGTGCTAGGTGAAATAAGCCAAGCACACAAGGGCAAACTCCACAGGATCTCAGTTACAGGTGGTGTGTGAGAAAAGCCAAGTAAATAGACACAGAGAGCAGGGTGGTGGGGGCCAGGACTGGATGGGATGGCGGATGGGAAGACTGTTAGTCAAAGGGTAAAAAGTTTCACGTCAACAGGACCAATAAAGTCAAGAGATCAATTTTACAGCATGATGCCTCTCTTGTTAATAATAATAATGGTAATAATAATAAAATGCATACTTAAACACTACCAGAGAGTAGACTTCAAATGTTCTCACCATAAAAAATTAACATGTCTTGTGATCAAATTTTTTTTTATCTTTTTGAGACAGGGTCTGGCTCTGCAGTTCAGGTTGGCTTTGAACTCACTTTGTAGCCCAGGCTGGTCTCAAACTCACAACGATCCTCCTGCCTCAGCCTCCTGAGTGCTGGGATTACAGGCATGAGCCACCAGGCCCAGAAATTGTGATCAATGTTAACTAGCTTGATTTAATCATACCACAACGTATGCCTGTATCAAGACACCCAACAAAACCCCATGAAGAAATGCAATTTTTATTTCTTGATAAAAACAAACACAAAGGGAAAAAGAGGCAGGGCCGTTCTCACACTGTGATGGAGAGAGAAAGCCCTGAGAAGTGTGTACATCCTGCTTTCCCCCTGTCGGCTGTGCTCACTGTTAGTGTGTTGGTGCTGGGGAGCACCCTTCCCGTGTGGCTCCTGTTACTCTCCTTTCTTGTGGGTGTCTGCAGAGGCTGAGCCCTTCCATTTGTGATTCTGATGTCATCCAGGGGTGCTCGGTGGTCCCCCAACCCCCCAGGCCCCTGAGCCGCTCGTAGGACCAGCTGTGATTCTGCACCATCCTCCGGCCCAGCCACTCATCCACTCAGGGCGGCCGCCTCCTCCCAGGCACCCTGAGACTCATGGGAAGAGGCTGGTGGGAGTTGTCACCAGATTTTCTGGAAAAGGAGACCTGCCTGGTCTACAGAAGAGGAGAGGAGCGGCAGGAACCGGGGAGGGCAGCAGGCTTCCTTCTGAGGCACTCGGGAAGTGAGACCTATTTATAGATGGGAGTCAGTACGCCTTGCCAACTGGGGCTTTGCCTGGAAACACCGGAAGCCGAATGAGGTCACATCTACCACCGCGACTTCCTCCTCTCCCTCTGTTACCTGTCCTTGTGGACAAAGGTGCACCGAGGATGTCTTGGGTCAGGGACAGAAAAGCCACCACAGCCGGAGTGATTTTTTCCCGCCTGCGTGCTGAGCCACCAGTTCCTCCTTTCCTTGTGGTTGTCACTCTCGCCCAGGCGTTGCTGGATCAGAACCACCAGAGCCTGGTTGGAGCTGTAGCTCTGCTGCTTCCTGGCTCTCTGCTCCGGGCTGTCAGTGTTTAATGAACATTTACTGAGCCCCTTTCTGCACCAGGCACAAGGGTTAGTACTTTATCTCACTCTTAGAAAGGTGTTTCTTTCTACAGAGCAAGGTGTTCCTTTTTCCTCTTTCTTTCAAACCACAATTTTAGAGGTTAAAAGAAAAAAAGGTGTATTGAAATGAACAGTTAATGCTCACAATTTTTTATGTTCTGATCGACTTTGCATGCTTGTGTCTGGTCTGAGCAACTGATGTGAGGGTAACAATATGCAATGGAATTAAAATGGTGGACTCCTACCTTCTTGTCTAGTGAAACTCTGTATTATCTCTAAGATTTTATTGAAGAATTATTTTCTTATTCTCTTTAATGGTTTGAGCAATCTTTCATTCTTACGTCTCGTAATCTGAGCAATGTAGTTGAGGATAGCGGTATGCAATGTAACAACCACTGTTGATTTGTATTAATTTGTCTTGAGACCCTGTATCATTTTGAATGTTTTTGCCTTGATTTGTTTATGTTCGTGATACTGGTATGCTGCTACTGTTCTATTTTTTTTTCTTTTTGTTTGTTTCTCATGTACTACTATGTTTAAAATAAAATTAAAAAAAAAAAAAAAGGGAAACCTAAATCAGGCAATTTCCTGAAGGTAAGAGAGTTGGCAGTGAGAAGAGATGATGACAGTCTCACAGTAAACATCCACTTTCTCTTCAGTGCTCACTGATATCCTCTGATAAAATCTCTTTGAGGGTCGAAAGCTCACATATGACAACGCCATCTTTCACAAGGAAGAAATGCAGGATCAGAGAAATTAAGCAACGTGTTCAGAGTCACACAGTTTGTAAACGGAAGAGAAAGACACTTAACCCGGTTGTTCCCCTTTCAATGCCCTAACCTACATTGTACTGCTGGACCTTAGTCTTCCCTACCTACTAAATGTCAACAACAATTCTTCTAGAAACCAGGAAGGGGGTGGAGACTTACTGTAAGAGCAATGCCTTTCCAGACACTACCCCCCTCTCCTATTCTGCCCAAGTCCCAGGGTCCACAGGACACCCGAGCCTCAGCATGCATTTCTGGAAGAGGCTGGGTGTGCCCGAGCCTTTTGGGGTAAGGATGTTGTTTCTGAGTTAACCTGGATTTTCTTAAGTAGCAGAGTTAGTGTTTGGGAAACATATACTGCAGAATCAGCCACTGGGGGCTCCTGCTTGGTACCAGGGAAGGACTGTGGCTGAGAAGCAGGGACACTCATACTTTTCCATGTGGCAGTGGGTAGGAAGGGCAAAGCTCAGGACACAGGGCAAGCAGTGCCACCAACAGCCTGGCTGCTCCTTATCCTGGTCCTTGTGTGAGGGAGGGTGGGTCTCTAACCTCTCTGCATCTTGATCTCCCCCATCAAACACAGAAAAGAGAACTTCTTTACGCAGGGAATTGCTGAGAGCATTTTGTGAGCCATGGAGCATGTTGCAGATCACATTCGTGCTGTCTCCGTCGGGTGGGACGGGTTGAAGCTCCTCATTGGCAGTTGTTGGCTTGCCTGTAGGAGCTCATGGTGTCAAGGGCTTCAAGATGTGTAAGGGCAATGTCTTTCCAGACACTACCCCCCTCTGCTATTCTGTTATTCTATTCTCCTGCAGGAACAGAAGTAGATACAGGAGGTTCCATGGTGGCTTGGTTCCACCAGGGGTGCACTCAGCCCATCTTGACTTTTCCAGCTCTGCCTACCTGCTGTTCCTGGCCAGGAGAAAACTTCCCGGCTTTGCCCAAGAGGAGTTTGGGGGCTCAGGTGAGGAGACAAGACTAACACCAACTCAGAATGATTAAATATGCAATTGAACTCAGCCCTAAGCTATATGAAAATAGAAGTGTATGAGGCCTCCAGAGAGCATGTGATTGTCAGGTATTGTGTCTCAGTGGTGAGAAAGCTGAGTAACACAGCGATGGACAGATAAGCACCATTGGGAGAGGACTCCTGGCAGAACAGGACTAGAAGGGGTCTGAGAGGAGCAGGGAAGATGCTGATAGCTGCATGATTTTTCCTTTACCCCCAGTTGTATGAACACAGCCATCTTCCCAGTGCCCTGGTACCCCAGGCCTCAAACCAAGTTGTTCACACCTCCCACCCCCTTGAGGTTGACAGTGCCATACTCCTGTTTCACAGATGGGTAAATAGGCGGGTGAAATAGGTGTGATCCAGTCATAGACTCAGTTGCTGGCAGAACTAGGTTTTAACTCTGGTCTGTCCGGTATATGCAGGGCCTGAGCTCCTCACCACAGAGCTGTACTCTGAGGTCAAGATCAAGCTGTGTGAAACTGCTGTCCACAAGGTGGGGAAGGACCTGTTAGGACAGAAAAGAATGAATTTCTTATTGCTGGGACAAAATATCTGACATTCACAAGTTAAGGAGGAAAGATTTATTTCAGCTCACAGTTTGTAGAGGTTTCAGTCCATAGTGAGCTGGCTCCAAGGCAGGGTGGTATGGCAGAGGGGAAACAGTCCATGGTAGGGCAGGCAGGAGGCAGGAAGCAGCAAACCTGCCTTCCTTCTGTTCCTTTATGTCCCATCCAGGCTACAAGCCTATTGGTGATTGCCACCCGTACCCAGGGTGGGGCTTCTGTCTTCCGCAAATTCATTTAGCCACACCCAGAACTATGCAATAATCCAATCAGTGGACAAATCTAGACCACACACCCTTAATCACAGTGTCACATGGTCCTAATCTAGCTGCCTCCTCAAAGCCCCACCTATGAGCACCTGAGGCTTTGGGGGGACATTTAGGTACAAGCCTTAACTCTGCAGCACTCTCTTTTTTTTTGTTTATTTCTCTGTCTTTCTGGGAGAGACACTGGGTCCAAGATGACATCTTTGGCTTGGAGAGTAGAGAGGGTCCAGGCTGTGGTGGATGCATTTCTAAATCCAGAAGAGACCATGTAGTCCTCAGTGCAGTCGCTGAGGAAGGAAGAAGGGCTGTTGAAGGAGGTCATACCAGCAGCCACAGCATGACTTTACTGAAGTATGGAGGACATAGAGGTCAAGAGTTGAACCAGCCAGGGAGGACAAGCTTGTGTGGCCTCAGGAGGTAGAGCGATGATGACCCAAAGACTGAGAATGAGGCTACCACCGAAAGCCAGGCAACTCAGAGGAAACCAGGCAATGCCCGGCTCCCCTAAATATGCCATGGCACTCAGGAGCAGATCCTGTCTCTCCCTGGGCTTTGGGTTCTTCATCTGATAACAGCGTGTTTGGACCAGCTGCGTTCTGAATAAATTGGTTGACTGTGGGGTTCTAACAAGGACAATGACTAAGCACTTGCCAGGCCTCGAGGTGGTATTTAATCACTTTCCTTAATGGGATGATTCCCTCTGGGCTGACTGCTTGGCTCTGAAGTCTCAGGTCCCAGACCCTACATCCACAAAGGGCTGGGCAGAGGAAGGAGGTCTCCCCCAAAGAAGTGGGGACTAGCAGGGCTGGAGTGAAGGAGCAGCCACTGCCTGTATCTCAGAATAGCTGCAGCCCTCCTGGCATCTGCCACGCTGGCTGCAAACTACCCTCCCATTGGCTGTTCCCTGTTCCTCCGTCTGGCAGGCACTGCTTTCCAGGTTTTTGTGGCACTGACAAGCAGCCCTCTCTGCACACAGCAACGTGCTGGCTTCCTTCTCCAAGCAGCCAGGATCATAAATGCACCTCTTTCCAGGCTCCTCCACTTCCTCTCTGACAGTTAAGGACAGAGGGGTTAGTTTAGGGCAATGGGCAGGGACTTAGAGTTGGTGCCTAGGCTTTAAATTATTTTTACTGCCTGGGCATAAATCTAACTATCTCTCTTGGCTTCAGTATCTTAAAAAAAAATCAGGTGCCATCAGGCTATTGCTCTGCTGCTGTTGACCAGGGTGGTCATCCCAGGTGTTCCAGCCGGGGTCCCTGTGGCCAGGCCAGTGGTCACACCATGCTGATATTTTGAATATCACCCCAGAGGTGATAAAACTTGGGCGTCCACTCAGAACTCAAGTGAGGATGACGTGGGGTAAATAAAGGATAGGAACTGTGCAGCCACGATCAGAGCTGAGCGTACCTGTCTGCCCAAGACTGTTTGTCTCTCCCATCTTAGACACACGTTGCGTCTTGGTCTTCCTTCTCTCGTTCTTTACCATAGGCCTCAGATGAGCTCCCTCTACTCCTGCCCCCAAGGCTGCCTGCGACCCAGAGCAGGGAGGGTTTCTCGGTTTGTCACAGTGACAAGCTGGGGGATGAGCCGAAGCAGAAGGGTCACTGTGACTGTTAGTTGTGACTGTCAGCTTGCTGGAGTAAGGGATGGCTCGCAGAGTCAGGAAGCGCACTTGGGGGTAGGCAGGTGGGGTGGGTCACAGGGGCTTGACCTTGGGGACCACTACTGGTCCCTCATCTTGTCCACTCCATGCTGTTTCTCTGCTCTGTTTTCTGGCCATGGTGAGTCGAGCAGCTTTGCTCCATCACACCCTTCCGCCATGATGTTCCTGCCTTGGCGCCACCAACCCTGTACTGAACCCTCCTAAACCATGAGCCAAACAAACTTGACCTCCTGCAAACTGTGGGTGTTGGGTCGTGAGCTCCAGTAATGGAGAGTGGATTGATACCGCCTCCTTGGAACCAACCCTGGGGCAGGACACAAACACACTTTCTCCCATGTGGCAATGGCTCCGTTACACCAGTGTGATTATTTCTCTGAGAATACTCCTCTCAGGAAGGGTGGGACAGGACCTTCTGTTTAAGTTATAAGTACAAGAGTGTGACTCAGAGCTTCTCGTTCACTGCCTGTTTGGGTAAAAGAGAGTGGAGCAAGTGGAAATCCAGAGGAAGGATGGAGAGGAGAGGAGAGAGAGTCTCAGGGACGTGGAGTCCCCACTGGCTCTGGGTCACTGTGCTCTCAATTCTGCAGCTGCTCCTCAGAGCAGATATAGTAGAGTGTGGCAAAGCATGGGGTTCATATTTACAATGTAACCTTGGGCCTAGGGAAGCTTTTCTACCAGGGTTAATGCAGGCTTGGGTCTGAATAAAGTGAACAGGGGAGCCCTGAAACACGTGGTGGAAGAGAATTCAAGGGAGAAGCAACAGGAAGAACAAAGGCCCTGAGGTAAGAGGGAGCCCACATCTGCAAGGACTGGCCTGCGCCCCGAGTGGCGGGAGTAGAGGGAGGAATCATAACTGATCTTGGGCTCTCTGGGCATCTCTCAGCTGTGGGTCCCTCTCTGCCTGGACCAGAGCAGATGCTGGGACCTGAGTGACAGCTTCACAGCTTTGGTTCTCACAGGAGTGAGGGGCTAGGAGGGTGACGGACCAGCACTGAGAAGTTTCTGGCTGTACCTCGGTGTCTGTCCCTGCCCAAGGGACCCAGAATCCCTTTACTGTGCTTCCTCTAATTGCTCACCTGGGAGCTAGCAAGAAGCCAGGTTTCTAGAGGGGCCCAGAAGGGAACAATTCCTTGTTGACAGAAACACTTCCCCGGGAAGGACTTCCCACGTTACAATTGCTGAGGTGTGACATTCCGTGCACACATGCCAAGTTGTTCCTTGTGTTTGTTCCTTTCTCCATTCATCTAGCAAGAATGTATTGAGTGTCTGACATCCGCCAAGGTACACAGAGAAGCACCAAGTACACAGCGATGATTCAGTCACGGTTTCTGCTCTCCAGACTAGCAGGCTGGGGGGGGGGTGTGGAGGAGCCGGCTGCGTAAGCAGTGAGAGAGAGGTGACAGGTGTGGAAACCGAGGCAGGAAACCCTGGGAGGGAAGGCGGTTGCTCTGGGAGGGTGAGGAGGCCTGCATAGGGGACATGGCTTACACTGGACCCTGATGACAAAGTATGTTTGAGAAGAGTAGAGGAGTACGCGGTAGGAAAGGTATGTGAAGGTCATGAGGTCTCTGGAAAGGGAGGGGGAAGACGTGGTGCCGTTCAGTGTCATGCAGACATGTCCCGGTTGCCCTGCCACTCCCCTCTTTTTTTTTTTTTTTTTGAGCGAAGAGGAATTGTCTTGGGCTGCATATTAAACATGTAGTAGAACTAATGTATGTAACTAACCAAACTTCCTTTGAAAGTCTTTTTTATTATTATGTTTAAAAAAGAGAGAAGCGAGGCATGGTAGTGCATGCCTATAATCGCAGCATTTGGGAGGCTGAGGTAGGAGGATTAGCCTGAGTTGAGGTCAGCCTGAGCTACCTGGTGAGACCTTGTCTCGAAAAAGCCAAACCAAACCAAACCAACAAAAAACCCCCCACAAAACAAAACAAAAATGAAACACAGAGAGAGAGGGAGAGAGAGAGAGACAGAGAGAGACAGAGAGAACAAAAGAGAAAAGAGAGGTGGCCACAGGTTGGACAAGGGTAGGAGAGGGCTTCACAGCCTGGGAGTTGGTGGATGAAACAGAGGGGTTGGCGGAGGTCGGCTCTGTGCGCTGGGTGTTTGCACTGTTGAGCTGACTTGGACAGCCTGGGGGTTTCTATGGAAGGGAGTGATGGGAACAGGTTACACTGATAATATAATGTACAAGGGGCAATTGAAATGCGCAGTGACAGTAAAGGAAACGCTACCACGAGCCCTTTTCAGACCCTCCCCCCAACGCACTTACCCCTTTGTTCTTGGCACTTTCTGCAGTAGCTCTGGAAATTCTCTTTCAAGAGTGTCTTTAGAAGATGTGAAAAAAAATATACAACGAAGGCTTCTGCCAAGCACCACCCAACAGAAAGGCAGCTCGTAAAAACACGACGCTGTGTCCTCATCTACCTTATTCACCAGATCTGTCGCTGTGCAACTTCCAGCTTTTCCTGGAGTAAAAATGACCATGAAAGGGACATCAAGGCAGCCAGAACAACACAACCAAAGACGCTCATGAACGAGGACTTCCAGAGCCGCTCCAGAAAGTAGCGAGAACCACGGGATAAGTGCATTTGAAGTGGGACTGGGGGTGGGAGTGGCATTTTGAGGAGGGTTAATGGCAATGTGTCATTTACTGCGGTAATCACTTTTTAATTTAAACCCTCACCGTATTTTTGGATCATATTCTGTATCGTAATACAATGCACACTAACCCTGGGAGTTGGCCTGAAGGATGAGCGGTTAGTTGGCTGGGTTTGACCCGAGTTAGAAACTCAGATGCCAACAGCAGTCAGCAGGAAACACAGGAGAGCAAGGGACGAGGTCCCTGGCGCCTCAGGCCCTGCTCTATCTAAAGAGGTCAGGCCCGCTCCCTGCAGCCCACTGCGGTCCCACGGAGAGCCCGGGCTCAGGGCTGCCAGAGAGCCTGGGTTTCCAAGAGCAGCTGGAAATCCAGATCCTTATGTAAAGCTCTCACCATTTTTAAATGTTGGCAACTCATTTAAATTCTATACAACGTTGTGTGGGCCAAGTGTAACACATCTGCCAGCCTCATCTGCGGTGAGCCTCTGGTGTGTAACTTCTGGTTTGAGAGAAAAATTTCCTTTCTTCGCTGGAGAGATCACACTGGGTTCGGACGCAGAGACGCGTGTCTGCGGTGACCTTCCTTCCCGCGGCGTTTACCAAATGCTGGGTCGTTGCCGAAGGCTCCGCTCACTCCTGCTCGGGGATGCTCTCCTCCTCCCTCTGCTCCCCTCACCTCCTACACCTCCAAGTCTTCAGTGTGTGTTTGTGTTCACAGCCTCCTTTCCAGGCCTCCTACCTGGGATAAACACACAAGCAGAATCTGCAGAGCAGGAGAGAAGGCGTGCAATTGCTGGTTAAGGCAGAGATGTGGATGAACCCTGGAGTCGGACTGGCACGGACTCCGGTTGCTGCCTGGAAGGACCTTCCCTGGAGAGGCAGGAAGCAGATGGGGTGTGAAGGGGAAGATGAAATGCTCACGAGAGGGTGGGTGCGAAGGCTCAGCACTGTGGGTTCCGTAGGACTTGGTTCTCAGGCAGGGCTGGGAGCCCCTCTCCAGTCTAAGGACATCTGTCTTGGTTCCTGCCGATGCCCAGACCCAGTTCTGGCCTGGGGTTTTTCAGGGATGGGATTTAGGGTGTGGGTGTGGGTGTGGGTGGATTTCTGCTGTTGTTTTTGCTGTCCAACTTCCTGTCACCTTTTCTTCTGTGTGTCTCCAGGGATCCAGCCTTCCCAGCTTTGGGTCCGTTTGCTTCTCACGCACGCATTGGGCGTTTGACCCATGTGTGGCTCATCAAGTCTCTGTACACAGACAGCCACGTAAGGAGATTAGAGTTGGGGAGAATGAAACGCAGGCTTTCCTTGAATTGTTGGGAAAGAAAGTCTCTTTCCTGCTGGATTTGAACCCGGGACAGTGCAGCTTTACAGCAACTGGCAGCCACCACCAGCGCCTCTGGAAGCCACGGTAGAGAAGAGAAAGGCGAGAGAGGAAGACAGATCTGGGCAGGGATGATGTCGTTTGAGCCACTGAACGAAATTCTACCTACAGTGAATTAACCCCAATTGTTCTGTGTTGTGTAGTTTCTCTTCTGTAAACCAGTGTGAGCTAAGTCTTAATCTGACAGGACTCCTAGCCTCGCTGAAAGGCACGAAGAACGAGCCCTCTGTGAACACCTCTACAGTTACCGAAGCATAGCTACCTCTCTGTCCTGACTCCCCAGCTCTCCTGTTGTGGTGAAGAAGGGGCTCTTATTCCTATTGTCACAGAGAGGCCACCTGTGGCTCAGGGAGCTGACAGTCCACAGTGAGACGGCCTGCACATCAAGATAGAAATCCTGCTCCCTTCAATCTGGTTCCAGAGTTTCTCTGCACAGATAATGTCATGTTAAATTAAACTCCAATAATGTTGAACTAAATTACTCTAAAGTACCTCTGGAAATAGCCTCTCAGACTCATAATTCATGCTGGGTAATTACAAAATAACTTTCTTCTCGTTATTTCCCTACTTACATACCTCCGAGAGAAGGGCTGGTGATAAATGTCAGAGTTGGGACAATTTAGGTAATTATTTGGGTGCCTGGCTGATGAATACCTTTTTGTGTGGCATCGCTGCCTGTGTGCTTTTATCTTCTGCTTGATAGTCAACCAAATGGTGATGCTCCATTTCATGTCCCTACAGGAGCTGGGTTATTTTGTAAAGACATTGTCGAGAGCTTTCCATTTGCTCTTTTATCTTTCTGGAATAATCTTTCTCCACCTACTTCCTGCTCACACTTCAGATCCTGCTATTGATACACAGGGATCTTACTTGATAAGAAATAGGGTTCTCCCCTCCCTTGCACTCAGTTTTGTCCATCTGAGGTTGTGCTATATCCTTTACATTTTCCACAGTTTCAAATTGTAAAAAAATTTAAATTTTCTTTTCTTCCAATTGAATGTCTGTTAGTACTGAAGTTTCCCATTCAGTGTCTCTGTCCTTGCTTCATTCTTCAGGCCATTTAGAATTTTTACTACATGGAAAAATGAAGTATGGAGCTAGTATCTCAGTGACATTTCTTACTTTGAGATTACTTTCAAGGTTGTCCTAGTTCCCATTTTTCACACTCTGTTTTCTGACAGTAAGAATCACTTGCTGAAAGTTTAATATATCTCATGATCATTTTTCAAAGCGCAAGTACTGCAAAACGCCATTGAAGCATTTAGCACCTGGCACTGAACTGGCGCACACTGGGTATTTGTTGATGGAGTGCACTGGGGAATGTGTGGCTTATCCAAGCAAATCCAAGAACCCAAGGGAAGAAAACTTGGGCCAGCAGACTCCAGACTGTCAGCACTGGAGCTGGAGCGCACGCGCGCGTGTGTAAATGAGTCCTGGGCAAGGATGACCCCTTTGAGGAATAGAATAATAGAGGGGAGCAGCAGGATGGCAGGAGCAAGCTCTGTGGATGGAACAGGACAGAATCACCAGGCAGCAGGCAGAGAGGGCTGGAAACCAGAAACATGGCGGGCAGAAATCAGGGGCTCGAAGCCAGGTGCAAAGAGGTGTCAGGAAGAGAAGGAAGGGGTTGTCACCCATGCCCCACACCCCACACCCCGCCAGGGCATCTGATTCACAGCCGACTTCCACTTGCAGTTATTTTCCCACTGATTGCAGCCATTGGCAGGTTCTCAAAAGGCAGTGTGATTCTCGTTTACAGCCTGCGATTCCCACCTCTCCAAGGCGAGCAGGCGCGAGTCCTCTGACCTCGCCAGTGAAGGTGACACCTCTCGATTTAGCTCCTTGTGCAGTGTCAGCTGAGAGGCTGTGTGAGTCTTTCAGAATATTCACAGGAGCCCACCCTACCTGACATCACAGTGGCCGCTCCCGCTTTCTCTGCTCCCTATGCAGGCAATGGCCCTGGCCAGTGGTCACTCTGGGGCTCACCTTGTGGGGGTCTTCACCAGCCTCTCTGACGCTGTGCTGATGTGGGGACCAGGAGAGAGATGGGAGGGGAACCATAAATCCAAGGAGAGGCAAAGCCCAGTGAGTCTGCCATCTGGCCCAGGGCCGCTCCCTCCCTGAGCATCTCGGAGCTGAGTCTTAGCACAGCAGAGACTTGCACCTGTCCCTTGATGGCTCTGGAAGGGTCATGACCCTAGAGCGTGGGGTAACTGCCCAGTTGGGGTACTTCCGGTGGGCGCAGCACACTGAGGCGTCTCCTCTCCCTTCACCTTGATTAATGTTCCCTGGAGTCCTACCAGGGGTATTATGGGCTCCATTTTATTTTATTTCTCTCCATTTTTATTTTTTATTGGTATGTGCTTGCGATAGGCTCTGCTTTAAATATGAGAGAGCCGAGGCTTAGGAGAGACAGCTTGCTGCAGGTCACGCCCCACGGATTGGGTGCCACACACAGGGCGAGGCTTTCCTGTGACCCCCGTGAGGGGCTGGGGAGACTGAGGCACGCTGGATCCTGAGTGTGCCGAGGGCCATCTGGGAGCAGGGCCCTGGGGGCTTCCTGTACCCAGGGCGCTGGCCACACCTCCCACCACACCCCTCCTGCCCTTCCTGCCAACCCCCTGGGGTGCCGCTTTTCCTAGGGGCAGGGAACTTGCACTTAATCATTCAGCTCCTTAGAGAAAGTCTTTCTCCCTTGATCATCAAAACAAAATCCCACTCTGGAAAAACCAAACACCACACAAACCCAGAGCGAAGATGTCTTGTGTCGGGTTAGCAAGGCTCTTTGCCTTTACTGGTGATGACGAGGGTGGGGGCGTCCTCCGTGTGACTCAACTGCCACCCACTCCGGGGCTGCCTGGGCTTCCAGTCACAGCCGGGCCACAGCCCTGTCACAGCAGGGAAGGACAAGGTGATGAACCCACAGGTGAAGGAACCAGGACAGGAGTGGGGAGCAGGCTCACTCCGGCTCCAGCAGGGGACCAGAGGGCCACCAGCAGCCCTGCAGCCTCAGGAAGTGCGCTGGGTGGGCCGGGCCCTCCCTGCCAGCCCCATTTGGCTGTCAGATGTCACAGTGAGGGAGGGGGTGATGCTGCCCTGGCTCCTGCGGGCCCCACCCCCACCCAGGCTGCTCCTCAGTTGGCAGGAGGGGAAGCCAGGGCTCTGAGCAGGGAGCAGCTGGCATGTCGCACTCTGGGGGCCTGCTTGCCATCACGCTGCTGTCCCTGTCTCTGGGCTTGGCTTGATTCCTTGTCACAGGCTTCACGGTGATGCAAAGCCTGTCTGTGTTCCCTCTGCTCTGCTCATCAGCGCAGCCCTGCTCGGAGCTGCACAAAGGCAGGTCCCAGAGCTGGTGCTGGCAGGTGGGTGGGCACGGCAGTAAGTAAGCGCTCGGTGAAACTGAAATGAGGAGATGGGGTAGGCAAAGACTGCCTGAACAAATCTCTAGTTGCAGAAGAAATAATATCAAGAGTCAACAACTGGGATCACATCAAATTAAAACACTTCTGCACAGCAAAGGAAAGCAGCAATAGAGTGAAGAGACAGCCCACAGAATGGGAAAAATGTGCCAGCTGCTCCTCAGAGGACTAATATCTAGAACATATAAAGAATTCAAAAAAAATTAAACACCCCTTAAATTTAAAGACCTCATCCAAAAATGGGCATCTGAAATGAATAGACACTTCTCAGATGGAGAAATAAAAACGGCCAGTGGATATATGAAAAAACGTTCAGCATCGCCGGCCATTGGAGAAATGCAATTTAAAACAACACTGAGATTCCTTCTCACTCCAGAGAAAAATCAACCAGTAAGGAAATCAGAAATCAGCTGGCGAGGCTGTGGGTGTGTGTTGGTTGGGGAGGAGTACTTCTACACTGTTGGTGGGAGTGTAAACTGGTAGAGCCACTTTGGAAATCAGTAAAGAGATTCCTCAAAAAAACAAAACTAAAAAAAAAAAAAAAAATCAAGAAACCAAAACTAGAAATTCCATTCTGTCCAGCTATTCCCATTCTAGGTATCTTCTTGAAGGAGTTAAAGACATCATATTACAGAGATCCATGCACACCCATGTTTATAGCGGCACAATTTACAGTAGCTAAATCTTAGAAACAGCCCGTATACCCATCAATAGATGAATGGATAAAGAAATGTGTTATTTATAAACCATGGAGTACTACTGTGCCATAAAGAAGGATAAGGCATTTTTTGGGAAATGGATCAGCCTTGAGACAATGATGTTAGGTGAAATAAATCGGACGCATAAGCTGAACTATCAAATCGTTTGTCTTATATGAGAAAGGGAGAAAAATTAAAGATAGGTATCAGGAAGTAGGAGATCTTTTTCAGATGGGAAGGGGAATAAGAGATGGAGCAAGAGGGAAGGCAAGGAAAGGAAAAGAGATTTTAAAAAGGAGTTGAAAATAGAGGAAATAGAGCTTTTGCAAATGGGGAGGGGAAGAGGAGTTGGAGGGAGGAGGGAGGGGTGGGAGGGGCGGGGACAGAAGAAGAGAACTAAGGTGTGTCATGGGCTTGGACCAGCTCCTCACGGTGAACGTGATCACCATGCATGGCAAACACGCACTAATAAAAAAATCCAGGAGCCAGGCACCACGGCATCCTCTCGAGGGTCCCATCCTGCCTAGTTTTCTGAGCTGCCCTTGCTGTGTGGATTCCACCACCTCCCCCCAGTACCTCTCCTCCCAGGATGCCTGGAGAACTTCCGGGGGCCCCTGGGAGACTCTATAGTGTGGCTTCTTCCAGTGTGGTTTTCCAGACCTTTCTGAAGGTCTCCTGATGACCGCCTGCCTCTCCCCAGGCCGGAGAAGGGAACTCTGATGTGGAATAACCAAACTCGATACAGGTCCACGCAGCGTTCCTATATGCTATGGTTTGTGTCTGGGTGTCCGCCCAGAGCCTCATGCGGTCATGGGGCGGGCTTCTAGAGTTTATGACTGATCCATGGCTCAATGCTGGGATTATGGGTATGAGTGCTACACCTGGGGCAGGTAGTTTGCATACAATGTAAGGGAGGGAAGGAGGCTTGTTTCCCCTCCCCTTTTTTTGCTCTTGTTGCTTTTGCTGTCTTCCACCACCATGAACTGTTGCCCTCTGCCATGTGCCACTCTGCCTCGGAGCCCGCTGAGGATGGACTGAAACCTGCACAAACTGTGAGCTAAATAAACCTCTCCTTCCTTAATTCTGGGCCTTGGTATTTTGACTCAGCAACCAGAGAAAAGTAACCAAGACACTGTAGCACCCCGTACTTTCCCCGTTGTGGTACTCACCGATTTGTAAGTATGGCTCTGATTTCGGTGTTCCTTAATACTCTGCAAATGCAACCACAGAAGCAATGGGGAGTGATGTTTACCCAGCCCTCCCTGCCCCTGTGAGTGGACCTTATTTCTTCTAGTAACAGCTCTGTGAAGTTGGTGCCATTGTGACTCAGTGCAATTTTACAGACGGGGCTTCCAGAGTAGGTGATTTGCCCCAGGTCACAGTTCCAGTGAGGGCAGACCCAAGGAAGGAGTTCAGTGTCCCTTTGTCCCATGAGTTGGGTGACTGTGCCAGTGGGTGGGCAGGGTGTGGCATATAGGGCAGATGTACCGGCCAGGCCAGGGCTCCTGGAGCCGGATGCAGGCAAGACAAGGAAGAGCTTTTCAGCAGGAAGAGCCCGCTGGGGTTCAGACAGGGCTGAGGACCTCTTGGTGAGAACGTCAGATTGGGAGTTAAGCCCCAGGTGGAAGAGCGGCAAATGACCTTTAAGATCCTTTCAACTCTGAGAGTTGGAGGTTGTTGTATAATCCTTAAAGAAATCAATAAAATCTTTTGCAAATATGAAGCAACCTGGCCCTGGCTCTGTGCTATTATTAACGGGAACTTCGTGGATGTTCAAGCGGGACAGTAAATGCCAACGCTGGTCAGGCCTCGAGTGCTCGGGGGTTGCGGTCAGTATTCAGTGCTCCAGGGACGGCAGCAGGCTCAGCTAAGGTGTACGGACGCTGCTGTACACACACTGGGCAGGGGTACATACCTTCTGTGGGCATAAGCTCAATTCTCACCACAAACCCATGCAACAAGAGGGAACTGGCCAAGCAAAGCTGCAGTGACAAACTGGCCCCGAGTCCTCAGTGGCTTAGCACGAGGAAAGCTTCTCTTTCATTTTCTTAGTGCAAAGGAGACTGGGACCTTTGGAAATTTTTTAATCTTCTCTGTCTGAGATATGTGCCCTTCAGGACACCGGGGTGAGGAAAGAGCTAGCAGAGAAGGTGACAGGTTGGTTATCTGCAACCCGAGGACCTAGCACATCTAAAGCAGCATTTCAGCACACTGTGATGGCCTCAGGAAGGGAAGACAGACACATTTTAAATCACACCTGCCCTGCTGCAGAGGGAATGCTCAGCAAATGCCGAGGATGACGGTGACGATGCTTGTAAGACCCCTGAGGAGACTGGAGGCTTGTACCAAGCGCATAAGTGGGAAGGGGTGGGAAGGTGGAATCTCACACTCCCTAGCCACCCTTGCTCCTAGTCATCCATGCCTCCATCAGGGGTCCAGCCTACCCAGTGGTTTGGGAAGCTGAGGCAGGAGGATTGCAAGTTTAAGCCCTGGGTTGGAGATGCAGCTCAGTGCAAGGGTTCTGGGTTCAATCCACAGCAAGGCCCCACCAAAAACAAAAAAGAACCCCTCAACAAGCAACCAAACAACTAGGCTGACAGATAGGTCAACCTAGTCTAAACTTAGAGCTCATTCTGACGGGGACGGTGGTAGGGGGCCGTCGGCTGACCTGTTGCCAGGGATCTATGTTGTGCTGCCCGGGACACCTTGCGCCCACCTTCTCAGAGATGGCACTGGATTCGAGGCTAAACATCTGATGCAGCATTCTGGTTCAGTATCTGTCTGTCTGGGCTGGGAGAGGAGCTGGTCTTGGACCCTTGACAGCTCGCCTCTTTGCCTGGCCTGTGTCAGCAGCATCCAGTGCCCGGGTGCTGGGACTGTGGAGTTTGGAGGAGAGCCTCCTGCCTCGTGGGCAGTTGCTGGACACCGGTACCTTCCCTGACAGCCCCCTCTCCACATTCGCTGTGCCTGGAGTCAGCCAGGCCGCGTTGCCCGTCCCTGGGCTCTCCCGTGTGCCTTTCTTCCCTTCCCCGCCTGAGCCGGAGTCCTCTGAGGCACGGAGGGAGGAGACAGGGAGCCTCGCCCTCCTCTGCATGCTCCATGCCGGAGGCCGACTGGCTCTGCTGCTTCTTGCTGCGTGATACTGGCCATCAGGTTCAAGTCTCAGTCTTCCTATCTGCAAACTGGGGATGATCACGCTGCCTAACTCAGAGCGCTGAGAGGACTAAACGAGAAAATGCACATGAGCTGGATGCTGCGCCTGGCAATAACACATCTTAGCTACAACAATACAAGCATATATTGTTATTTTTCTAGTCCAAATCTATCTGTCTCTATGGCGTCTGGTTTCTGCTCTACAAGTACAGGGCCTCACAAAGCTATGTCTTGATGGGAAACCATCGTGGGCGGACTGACTTTGATTTTTCTCTTCATTCTGCTCTGTTTGCAAGGAATCCTGGAGCAGGGTGCTTTTAGGAGACTTTCCCCAGAAGCACAGCAGGTGGTCAGATGGCACTGACAGGAAACAGGGTCCCTTCTGTCTGCGGGAATGTCTGAGTGGGTTCAGGTGTGTAATAAGACAAAGCGCATTTCTGGAGACGGCTGGGAGCCAGGTGGAGGGCGGGCACCGGGGCACCTCGCCAGAGAGCGACAAGGTAGAGAAAACTGGAAAACCAGAGCATTGTACCCTCAGCCTGATACCTCCGGGTTTCCCATCATTCCCTTTTTCAGGATTCTGCTCCAGAAGATGGCGATGAGGTCACCTTTGGATGATGTCCTCCTGAGACTGGTGTCCCCAGTGGTGTCCAAGGGTGCCACTGGAGATGAGGTCTCTGGAAGAGGAAGCTCCCCAGGCTCCAGAGTAAGTCCCTGGAGTCTTTTCTCTCTCTCCTTCTTTGTTATTGGACTTCATTAG